CCCGGGGAAACCACTCATGAGAAACACCGGCTGTTGTTATGCCTGCTGTGACGTTAAGTTACTCCGTTCTCCGCTTGTAATTATGCCGTTACAAGCTTCAAAGTTGTATTTGTCATCTGAATTTGACGAAACAAGTTTAATATTCTTTAATTGAAATCAGATGAAGACAAACTGTAACGGACCCTGCCGTGTTATCTATGATTACTATACACCTTACATTCAAACATTTGGACGGTTGGCGCAGTGGTTAGAGCGTTGATCATCAGATCACCGGGAAAACTCCAGTTCTTGGGCAAGACACTTTACTTTACTGCTCCTGTGGGTAATGTCCACAGTAATGACTCTTACATGTCTAATATGTATAATGTGTAAAGCGCTTTGAGCACAAACATTTATTTTAATGTAATGCATTATTATTATTACATTCATAACTTAGCCGGAGGGAGGGGGAGCGGCGCGGCGGAACAGCAGAGTGGCGAGTGAGAGCTGTCATCTTCCCTTTACGAGCTTCAAAAATGTATTGATCATGTGATTTTGGAAATAAAAGTTTCGTATTCTGAAAGCCAAGACTCTGTTTATTTAAAATCAAACAAAACACCCGAACCCCCGAAAAACAATTTTTTTACGCAAATCCACGTTTATTTTTTAAATGAGCCGTTGCGACTTCCGACTGATTTCGATAGAGCGGGTCACATATTTAGTTTGATGTAGCTTACCTGTAGTACTTGGGGTCATCTCTGTCATCATCATAGTCTTCAAGAAACTCTTTCAACCGTTTGCCCTCCTTCACCTGAAGACACACACGGGCACACCGTTTCTTCAGACGAATACAGCTAGTTTATTCATGTTTTATTTTCAGACTTATTAACTGAAATCATAAAAAAGATAAAACAAGATTTAATCTGCATCAACACAATATCATGTGGACATTTAACTATTGCTTTTCAAGTCTAAAAAAAGGCAACTAAGAGATAGACACATCTAACCCTTAAAGGTAAGAATGAAGAAACCAGCTCGAGTGCGCTAGATTTTGAAA